GAATTCTGGCTGTGTCATACAAAGACTTACAAACATTTTGCCAACAGCTGCATTGCTAGGTGTTCAGCAATAAGTGGTTAGTGTTAGGACTCCTGGTCATGGTGTCAGGATAATGTGACTAGGTGGGATATCATGCTACATGTCTGAGGCTTGATGCCCCAGTGCTATATGTCACTATAAACTACCACAGTGGAGACCTCTAGCAATATGACTAAAAAATTGTAAAAGCTATATTAAAAATCTAAATCACAAACACATGCACATGCGCTTGCATGTGCACACACACACACACACACACACACACACACACACACTTAAAATTCTTTATGCATTAATTAGTGAATTAAAATGAATTTCTTTGGTGACTAAAATTTGGAGTGGTAGATTGATGGGCTTAAGTTATGACAGGTGATTTTTTAAAACTGGTGCTAAGGTCAGGAAGTGTGGAAATGGAATTATCTCACAAGTCTTTGCAGACCTAGGTGCACATATTACTTTCCAGTTATGCTTTGGATTTTAAGACAGTGCTTTGAGTAAAGCTGCAGGTGGGCTTGTCCTACTTGTGTTTGTAGAGCTCAGATCTCACTAATGCTTACCAGGGTTAAGGAGTTAACTTGTTAAAGGCATTAATTATATGGCAACTTTGGGAAATAAAGCCCCCTGAACATGATATTACATAGTCTTATTTATTAATCTCTGAAGCCAATTGTTGCTAGGATTACAACCCATTTTTGGTATTTTAGCTCTCCAGACCAGATAAACTTACATAATGAGCTGTTGTTGTTTATCAAGAGTCCTTACAACACAGCCAGTGGCTAAGTGGTCCAAAGCTCCGTGTGTTCCAGGTAGCTTTTCGTGGGTGGGTCATGGGTGGGTGGGTCATGGGTGGGTCGGTTTCTTACTCCACCAATAATACTGGCTGCCATGAATAGCCTATCTTGTGCTAAAAAAATGGGGTTAAGCCCAACAACAAATCCTTACAACACATTTATTGTCCAGCAAGAATGACATTTCATGTTCATTGATCCACCACATGTATAGCTTCTGTGGGCCAATTTAGGAAGCCACATTAGCTCACTTAATATAGTGTTGAACTTGTTGAAATTAAAGTCAAGGATCATGGGTTTGATACCCAGGTCGGCTGCCACATTGTGTCCTTGGGGTGAACATTGGATGTTGTGTTTTGCCAAGTTTGGATGCTGTGTATTTCCATTGCATTGACAGTCTCAACTATTTTTTAAAATGCTAGCATGTAATTTAAAGTTGATGTTTGCTGTTTGAAAGCTTTGTTAGTATGTAAAAGTTGCCATATTGACCTTTGCCCTTATTCTTTGTTCAGAAATGTGGGGAAAATAATCCTACATGATGCATTAACATTGGATGGGAAAATGTCATCTTTGGTTTTAGAATGTTCTTATCCTACATCAATTCATGAAAAGGATTTTGTTATCTTTTGATTATTTCAATACATCTTGAACATATGAGGTGTCAGTTTATGATGTACATAATAACATGATAACACTTACTTGAGATGAAAACCTGACTATTGATACTTGTACACAATGACTTTATCAGGCCAGATATCATTTAATTCATATCTCTACAGTTTCAAAACATTTCTGTATAGCACCTGTGAAACAAAGCAATAAAATTCAATTTTAAAGTTTACATTTGTATACATAAATTATATAATAGTTTTTCATTTTAAAGTTTACATTTGTATACATAAATTATATAATAGTTTTTCATTTTAAAGTTTACATTTGTATACATAAATTATATAATAGTTTTTCATTTTAAAGTTTACATTTGTATACATAAATTATATAATAGTTTTTCATAACTTGTAATAAATATTCAGTGGTGCAGTTGAGACAAAGTGTTTTTGAGGTGAAAGGAAATTGAAGAAAACTGTTGACCACGAAATAGCAACTGTTGACTTTGCAGACACTGAATCGAAGGAATTGAACTGAAGGACAGATGTGAATATGATGGGGCTCTACTTCTGGGTGATCAAAGCATCCATATTATATAGTACAGCTTTGATTTTGATTCTGGACTCCAAAAGACCTTGACTTTGCTGTTGGAGGCAGTAGGTGGGGTTTTTGAAGTGTATGAAACTGAAAAACTTGCTTTAAATACCTCCCCCCCATAATATGTCATTACATGTAATAGGCATCCACTGATCAAATTTGATGCTATATTTAGGGCTTGAACCTTTGATCACAGAACTACCAGACAGATGGCACCCCTCCTAGCAATCCTTAAAATACAGCATTGATTCCTTACCCATCAACATTTACTGGTCATATGGTATTCATAAATCCATCTGTTCAAAATCAGATATCTGATATTAAGTGCAGCATGAATGCATGCTGTGCTGCCTTGTCCCCAGCATGGGCATAATTATGATTCATTGAATTGTGATTAACATAAGAACTGCCACAACCCAAAGTTGTTCTTCCAGACCTTGTCCTGTGGAGCCATGTTGACTAGTGATTACCCTTTAATTGGCAGATGCAACAGCCAAAGCTGCCCAGTAGTTGCCCATTTTCAGATGAAAGATTCCATGTAGTGATTTCAAATAGTGCAAATATTGATATGTTCAATGTACTTGGCAAACCTAGCTTTGTAACATTAAAGACATCAGTGGCAGTATTATGCCAGTCTGACTTGTGCATACCTTAACATAGTGGAACAGATTCTTCATATATATCTTTACCTTCTATGCTTTAACTTTCTTGGAAAAAGTGGGGGCCCTGAGTGGCCAAGTAGGCTCAGCGTCTCACCTGTCTTTGTGGGTTTGAGTCTCTACCAATTTGGGTATGTGAGAAAGATTGCCAGTAGCTTCACTTGGGTACAGAAGGTGCCTTTAAATGCTAATAGATACATAAATGAACAAAAGGTTTTGATTCCTACCATATCCTACCATTGACTGGATATTGTGGTGTGTCTAATGGCAAACCATTTTTTCTGTGATTCCTTTGGCAAGATGAACCATTCATACTTGCTTCAAGTTGAATCCAACCACAAACTACAAAGACCCTGATCTGCCATTGCACAATTCATTGACAGATCAGGGTCAGTGTTTTTTCGTGTCTTACTGATTACTCCTCTAAAAAACTGCAAAGACAATTCTGCAAGCACCCTATGTGGTGGTAGATCCATGTCTCTGCAGTTGATATATAAATCTGACAATTAAACAGATATCTATGTAGTAATGTTCATGAATTACAGTGTGGCAAAATGCTGAACATTGCTATAGGCTGAGCTTTGACACAAAAATCAAGCAAATCAGAGAGATTAAATGACTATGGGATGGTATAAGCATGCTATTGTACTTTATTTGTTTTGCCAATTCTGTATATATAATGGGTGCACTGTTCCTATTTATTGCATGCAAAGAAAGAGAGCCTAATTGGACTGGTCATAAATCAGTTTGTAAGGTATCAGATAGGAAGTGCATCACCAAAGCTCCTTGTGATAAAAGTGTTATCTTCTCTCCAACATGGGTGTAATGTTGATTCATTAATTTTGATTACCAGAAGAATTGTCAGAAAATGCTGATGCTCTTTCTGACCTTGTATACAGAAGTTTCTTTCAGTTGATTTGTATTCCCATGCAGAATTCCACTTCTTGAAAGTTGAAGCTCAGTAGTATATTTTTGTTTTCCTCTTGGTCAGAGTATTTAATAGTTGATGTTTACAACCATACCAATATAGTTTTCTAATTTGGCTAAATAAATTTGAGGCATCAAGGTCAAATAAATGGCACTGGTGACTGGATCAGAGTTAAGTTTTTTTTTTGGCAGGGCTGAAAGAATGAATTCTGACATCCTTTTACTAACCAATGGCAAAAATTTTGATTTCTCATCATTTCTTGTCATTCTGTTTGAGTGTGATTTAGATTTTTAATGCAGCTTTATCAGTCATAATTATGTCTGCAGTGTGACAGTTTATAGTGATGTCTAGCACTGGGGCATCATGTAGCAGACATATGGCATGATGTCCCACCCAGTCACATTATCCTGACACCAGGCTGACCAGTCCTAGCACTAACCTCTTAATGCTGAGCGTACCATTTTTTTTAAGTCTTTGGCATGACTTGGCTGAGCTTCAAATCCATGACCTCCTGCATCTGAGGCTGACGATCTAACTACTAGTCACAGGAGCAGTTCATTCTGTTTGACATTGTTAGCATAATTTTTGGCTTGGAGGGATTTCAGTCCCTCAATGTCTGTGGCATAATGTCCATTCTTTTCTGCCAAATATAGTTTGTTACTAATAATAGTAGCTTCACAGTCTTACTAAAATTAAGAAAGTATTAGTCCCTTGATTTTTAGGGGATGGGGTTGATGGTCAGCCTCAAATGGACTGGCATTTCAACCAGGGGGAATTATGTTCTCTTTTGTTTTAGGTTGAGGTAGAAATGGGGATTAGCTTACACCATGTTAAAAGCCATATGTACTGTCTTTTAAAAGAAGAACTGAGATTTTTAATGATTAATCCACAGTAATTGACTTCAAATAATTAGAAAAGCAGCTTAATCTTTAGTACTCAAAGAGAAGATAATTCATGTGTGTTTGTGTGTGTGTGTGTTTTTCTTTTCTATTGCTGCATGATTACTTGGAAATGTTAAGAAAGTTGCCCACTGAATGTATATGCACTGTTTAGTTTAAGAATAATTAATCTCTTCAGAAAAGTTTTCTGCTGCTAGTCTTTTTCATTTTTTTTTTATTTTTATATTTGTATTACAACCATGCACATCAAGAGGAAGTTGTTGACATAAATCTTTATGAGTGGGGCTGCAGTAAACCAGGCCTTTTCCTCATGGTTAGAAAGGATCCAATTAACAATTATGTTTTATGTTCCCTTCACAGGAAATTTACACTTTATAACACTGGCTGTGCCACAGGCCAAGTACCTTATGTAATAAAAGCTAAAAGACTTGAAACCTTGTCATTAACAGTCAACTTGTTGAATTGTACATATATTTCTCAAAACTCTGGTGGCCTAGTGGTTTGAGTGTCCACCTCGGATGAGGGAAGTCGTGGGTTTAATCCCTATCTGAGTAATACCAAATACTTAAAAAATTTGTACTAACAGATGCTTTGCTTGACAATCAGCATTAAGAGGGTAGTGTTAGGACTGGTCGCCCTGGTGTCGGGATAATGTGACTGGTCGGGAGATATCATGCTACACATCTGCAGCATAATGCCCCAGTGCACTATAAACTACCACACTCCTAACATCATAGCAATATGAGTGAAAAATTGTTAAAGCTACCTTAAAATGCCAAATCACTCACTCTCTCTCTCACACACACACACACACACACACACATACACACACACACACACACACACACAGAGAAATGTATGAATAACTAAGCAGCTTGCATTTTTGTGTCATCTGTTAATTGCAAAACATGGGTATGACTTTCCTGTCAGCTGTAGTTGTGACTTACATTGGTCATCATCCTTGTTAATATTCTGTGTTTAATTGGTTCGTTGATTGGTTGGTTGGTTTCTAATGGCACTTTGAGCACATGATTGGCTATATCATTTGATGAAATTAGAGCTGAGTGCCTTTCCAAGAACATAGTGATTTGATATTGAGATGAGCCTGTATCAAACTTGTGTTTCTTGAAGTACAACTCCAATACTGTAACAAGTTAAAATAGCTTCCCTTTTATGTTGGACTTTTTGAAAGTCACAATCATTATAAGATACCATTTGCTAAATTAACTGAAACTAAATCTGCCTGAATTCATGTCTTGAAAATGGTGCCATTCTTTCATATAATACACAAATGCCAGTTTTGTAGAGCTTGTTATCACTGCTTCTTCTAGATATACAGACATGTATACATTATGCTTTTACTTAACTATGTATTGTGATGTCTGGTTGAAATAAATAGAATTGGTGCCAGTCTGATGTATAATATGGCATAAATGGCATCCATCTTGAAAATCATATCATTGCTTCTCCAAAATGTAAATACATCTTAGCATCGGTTTCCAGCAGAAGACTTTTTATGATACCTTGTTGGTCCTAAATGAAAATGATGTCAGGATGTCTTCCACCATAGCTGTTTATTTGAAAATCTTTATAATGATGAAGAAAATCAAAGATGGTTTTAGCACTCCTTAATAAACTGTTAAATGGAAGAAATGCTCTTATCATTCTGGAAATACTGTTCATCCATTAGAATGCCTTCAAGGGACTCCTAATTGAATGAGTTGTGTTTTTGATTACTGGTATGCTCAGACAGTTGAAATAGAAAAAATGTCAACTGTCACCTTAAAGGACAAAACATTATGACTTGTGCTTTGTTTTTCACCTCTGTGTCAGATGTTGCATTGGACTCGTGTTTTGGGAACCAGCCTGTACTTTCCAAGTCTCTCAAGGTAGCTGGTGGATTAATTTTGAACATATGCATGTCATTGAAGAAATAGAGAAGAATGAGCATTTAAAAATGCATCTGATTTACAAAGCTTAAAGATAATTGTTTTCTCTTTTGGAATGGGGAAAATGTTTGCTTGTAATTGAATTTACCCAACAATACAGTTATGGAATTGTCATTGGAATTCTGACACCACTAGCCTGCAAGGCTGTCTCACTTAAAGCAGGTGTAAATCATTTAAAGTGATTGTTTTTATTGTTTCAAGGCATTTCCTTTTATTTTTCAGTAAGGTACAAAAGTTGCTTTCACATCTTTTATATTTTCTCCTAGAGTTTACAATGTTATGAAACCAGGAGGTAACAAGTGAAATCATCTCTATGAAATAGTAATGTAGTGATATTTTGAGTCATGCAAACTAGAAAAAAAATTGTATTGTACAAAATTAGATATTTAAATTAAGGTTATGTAACATATTTTGGAGGTTTTGTAACATTTTGGAGGTTTTCCACTACAAAGGTAGAGTCCATCTTTAAAATTGATTACCTAATCTTGACATGTTGAGCAATAAAGAAGTTATCAGATGAATTGGAAAAGCTATATACCTAAATGTATGAGTTTACTAGACAGTTCTCTCCCATGGTGTCGAAAATAAAGCTTAAAAGTTTTGGAAGCTTCAGTAGCTTGGTTGGTAGAATTGTAATGAAAGAATTACGTGTTCAAACCCATCCAGGGCTGTGATTGGCTGAATAGTCTAAAGCTTAAAAGTTTTGGAAGCTTCAGTAGCTTGGTTGGTAGAATTGTAATGAAAGAATTACGTGTTCAAACCCATCCAGGGCTGTGATTGGCTGAATAGTCTAAAGCTTAAAAGTTTTGGAAGCTTCAGTAGCTTGGTTGGTAGAATTGTAATGAAAGAATTATGTGTTCAAACCCATCCAGGGCTGTGATTGGCTGAATAGTCTAAAGTACTTACTTTTTCAGACAATTCTGCTCACACCTCTGTTTACATGAGTTGGAGCCTTGGCTAGACCAATGTAGCTATGTAAGAAAGCTTGCTGGTGGCTTTCTATGGGTCAATACTCTTTGCCAAGTATAGCCCATCATGTGCTGAAAAATGGCATGAAACAAAACCACAGCAGCAACGCAGTATCTACCCTGAACAGCCTTGGTCAGTTGCTTCATTGTGTTCTTGGGGAATGTGCATGGCTACCATTTTCTGAGTATGATATAACTAATATTGTGTTCAAAGTGTTGTTAAAAAATGAGTAGTGACAAACCTTAAAATTTCAACTAAGCTTAAAATGGACAAGTTACATCCAAGTTCATTAAGGGACATAAGCAGGACCGGTGCAAGCTCTGAGCAAGCAGTGCAATTGCACAGGGAGCCATTTTCAATGGGGCGCCAGATTGGAGAAGCAAATGGGCACAATGAATTAGACAAGGGAGTTAAAATGAACCAAACCATTGTTTCTTCAAATGAAACTCCTTTTTGTTGGTCATATTTGCTGTTCTTTACATGTTTTCAAAATTTGAATACAGGTGGTATGTTACCTAATGCCTGTTTTAAATTACTTTGTGGGAGCCCTGAACAAAATATCAGATATCCATGACATGGGTATGTGTGCCATCCCACTGTATCATCAACCACAGCACCATTATAAAGATTGTTGACAAAAGTTTACAAATACACACATGCATACAAATAGACATAAAGTCACAGAAAAAAAATCACAATTTGAATTAATATAGTAATTGTTTAGTAGCTGAAGGGCAAATTGTAAAACTAGCATAACTTATTGAGATCATTAGGATTTATTTAAGGCTTGCTCTTAGACAGAAAAGGTAGTTTTGATAACAATATGCAAGTAAAACCTTGGTTTCAATCTCTAATTACTTTTTAAACCAGTATGTTAATACAATTATACCCTTTTTTTGGTGCTAAATGGCTTTCCTTTCCATGGCTTCAAATACAGGTCTCTGAAATAAATATACAAATACAAGGGATTTTGTTAAAGAAATCATTTCAAAATGGATGTCATCATAACCATCAAGGGTGGTTCTAATTCAGCTTTGAGACTGCTTCCGTGGCCAAGTAGTTCGGGTATCTGTTTTAGATGTGGGAGGTCACAGGTTCGAATCCTGGCTGAGTCATACCAAAATCTTATAAAAATGGTACTAACAGCTGCCTCTTTAGGTGCTCAGCATTAAGAGGTTAAGTGTTAGGACTGGTTGGCCTGGTGTCAGGATAATGTGACTGGGTGGAACATGATGCTACATATCTGCAGCATGATGCTTCAGTGCATTAGACATCACTAAAAATTGCCACACTGCAGACGTCAGTGATATGACTGAAAAATTGTTAGTGCTACATTAAAAATCAGATCACACACACCTGTAACTAATTATTCCTGTGGAAGTTAACTGGAACTGATTAACCACAACCAGTTTTGATTTAGGACATGGTCTAGATCAGGGGTGCATATACTTTTTCAGAATGCAAGCTACTTATAAAATGACCAAGCCAAAATGATCTACCTACTACAAAAATGCAAACATATATAAGTTTAATGCTGTGCAATCTACTCACACTATCTTTGCCTCACACTATCTTTTCTTGGACAGGTTGATTTGATTGACCTATTGTGCATCCCTGGTCTAGATGCTTGCAGTGGAGTAATTGCCTTTGCTGAAGACAGTCAACCAGTACCTGATTTAGGCATAAGCTAAACAAGCAACAGCTTAGGGGCTCCAAAGTCACAAGTCAGTCTGAAGGGGCCCCTTAAATTTATTTTATACCAGATATGGCCTCTATAGATTTCCATAACTTGGGGCCTGCTTTGTCTAAATCTGGCACTGCAGCCAACAACATTGAGCTGCAGCTGAAACCATCTTCATGGACATAATTCAAAGGGTGACTTTATGTCCAGTGACTTTTTCTCTTACATGTAAACTCATAGTAGTGAAAATTCAAATTGTGTCCTTTTGTCCAGTGTCTTTCTTTTCAATAACTTTTTGTCCTACAACCCACAACACCTAGTCCTTGGAGTGAAGATGCACATATATATGGACTACTCGACTCCCCCATTCATAGCTTAAATACTTCAAGTCTTTACATGCAGATAATAAATACAGTGCCAAGGCATGGTGTTGTAGAGAGGGTGGCACACATTCCTTATAAACAACTTCTCATAGTATGTACATTAACATTAGAGTTAATAGCATTAATTGTCCCAATTTTGTTATCAGTGTTGAATATTTACAGAGAAAGCAGTTAATGTTGTAGAATGGGCTAGAACTATATGGAGAATCCAAGTCTGCTTATCCTATCAGCATTACCTGCTATATGTACACACATACAAGTTGAATCCAGCTGCAATCTGCATAGACCCAAGTCTGCCAGAGCATTATATGAATGCAGAATTGGGGCTGTGTAGTATTCTATCAGGAGTAATCAGTAGAACAAGCAACATAAGATGCTAATCATTGGACACATCAGGACCTGTGTTGTTTGCAGTGAGACTCAACTGATGATTTAGTACATATGGTATATTTACATAGCATTCATTTCTGTGTGTGCATGCATGTATGCAAAATGTACAAACTACAGATTGAATTCTTTTTTTAACAAAATCTTTTAAGTCTACTCTTTTGCTGTCAAAAGAGGGCTTATTTT